CCAGAACCGCTCCACCGATCGTCACCAAACTTTCAGTACTCTCCCGGACATCAATTCTACACATTGTGACCAAAATTTTTTCCAAAGGCTATGATAGGTTGGCCGGAAATGACGTCAGAGTGACGTCATGTTCTGCCGTTTTCGACCCAAAAAAGGGTTTCGCGGGAAGAGCTGTCAGGCCTATAGCTTTGCAAATACAGAAAAACGATTAAGACATAAAGGCTGTTTAATTGACAGAGCTACAAAATTGCTATCTCGGATTTTTGGAATTTTTGGAATTTGACCCCCAAAAATCAAAAATTAGATTTTTTGAATATAATAGCCGGAAAATCCAAAAATTTTTTGAATTTCGCAAAAACCGGAACATATGTGATAGTCCTTACCACCTTCTATCCACATACTAAATTTGAGATTGATACCTCTTTTTTTGGCGAAGTTATAGCGAAAAAACTGTTCAAAATTGATGACGTCAAATTTTGAAACTCAATTTTTAGCAATTCTAGAACCCGTAGCGCAAAACAAAGACCACCATTAGACTCCCCGTGACGAGCTGCATCGAATCAATACCCATTTAATGCAAAACTATCAACTTTAAAATTTGACCTTTTTTGACCTGACCTTGACCTGACCTTCTCCAGAAAGTGACCTAAGCCGTACCTCATAGTCTTAGAACCAACACCATTGAATTGGAAATGAAAAATTGGCCATAAAACATGCATCGCACAACCTTAGTACCTTAAGTTAGGTTCATGTGACCTGACCTGTGACCCTTGGTGACCTGACCTGTGACCTGACCTTGTAATGTCAGTGACCTCTTATAGCAACATATGTACTAGGCAACTGACGCCCTATCGCTGATTCTCGACAAAATGCGTTTTCTTCGGTGTTATAGCCCATTCCCTAGATGACCCGTGAACGGTGAAACATTTCATCTTTGACCTGACCTGTGACGTCATCGGTGACCCTGAGGTTAATGAAATTTGGTTTCCCTCCATAAATTTGACAGGCCTTTCGAACGCCGTTTGAATTTTGCGGATCCGTCCAGTAGTTTCGGAGATACGAGGGGGGGGGGGGAAATAGCCCCCCCCCACCAGGTCGCGTTATAAACAGACCCCACCAGGGCGCGGGTTAAGCGGTAGGTTTTGCACTTTTACATTTCCGGTTATATCTTAGAAACTAATCGATCTACGATCAGCCATTTTGCACGATTATGGCCGGCTTGTTACCCAATAAGTCGATCGCATCTTCAACACTTAAAAGCTTAAAGGGACTATCCCACCTTTAACATGGGGTTTGAGTTGAGATAGCCAAGTTTGCGGCGAGGTTCAGAAACCACTATCTATCTAGGTTGCAAACCCCGCGGCCTCTTGGTGTTGAAGAAATTCGTTCCCTTCATTTGAAAATGGGCCTTGTACAAGGCCCTATCTTCAACATGGAGCGACCGTTAGTGTGACGTCACCTCGTTTAGTCATTCTGATTTAAATGGGTTTTTTCGTTGAAAAATCGCTTAAAACTTGGTCTGAACTCTGTTGTGGTGCCTACAGAGTAAAAAGAATCAGCTTTATGACAGTAATGTGGCCTGGGGAAGGAGGTAATTTTGGGCTGTGACGTCACATATTTGAAAGTTTGTGTTTGGAATATGGGAAGCCTAAGATGTTTAATGAAAAATAAATGCCAGAACCGTGTTCCTGGTCATCCAATCTACAAAGTCGGGCACAATTTAACCCTCGCACGACCAGGCCATTTCTCATAACACGAACGACCAGGGGGGGGGGGTTGTTACGACCCCCCCCCTGGCGTTTCGAAACGGAAGGTCGTAGAGCTTAGCGGAAAAAACAACGGATTGCTCTCAACGAGATCTCGCGATTGGTGGTATATTTTTTGGTCCTAGGTCAACATTTGACCTACTTATGACCGGTCAAAGGTCAAATTTTCCGAAAAAATCAAACTTTTTCAACTTTCCGCGGCGATTGCGGCAAAACGGTGGGAGATATCGACTTGAAACCTTCACTATCGTGTTCCTTGATCAATTCTCTATCGTTTGGTATGTATTTCGTTTCCCTAGCTCTAAAAATGGCGCGTTGGGAGCGCCGGAAGTCGGCAAGGTCACAGTCGGCGGCAGAAATTCGAAAAATCAAAATTTAAATTTTTGAAATCTGATCGTATTTTTGGATTTGGGAGGTCCATTTGCTCCCTATAGAAGCTAATATTGCTGCATATTCCCATTGAGGTGACAAGAATTAGCAAAATAGTGGTTCGGGCGCTTTTCAAAAATAGTACCGGACGCTGTTCCTCTTGTGACGTCATAGCTCCGTGACCTGACCTGACCCGGTCAATTTTCTTGCACCACACGATAGCCAATGCCTGCCCCAACATGCATGGGAAGTTTCATCATGATCCATCAAACAATGTGGGTATCACCGGCAGAAAACCTAGGGATTCGGCGCACACGTTTGGTAACTGTCGGCCGGAGGCTGTACCTCTTATGACGTCATAACTCCGTGACCTGACATGACCCGATCAATTTTTTCGGCAAAAGATGCGCAAAGGTTGCCCCAGAGGGTATTCAAAATTTCAGCCCGCTACGACTAGCCGTTTAGCGTGCACTTCGAAAAACCTCAGGGGGGGGGGGTTGATACAACCCCCCCCCCCCAGGCGTTCTAGGGTTAACTGGTTTTAACAACATTTTAGAAGGTGGGATAGTCCCTTTAAGACGACGAAGATATAGCCTGAAGTTTGTGCCCTAAATTTTCTGAGTGCAAAACCTGCCGCTAAAACCCGCGAGATCTGTACATACTACATTCCACTTGGCATTGCGGATGAGGAAAGAAGTAGTGGGAATGTATGAATGCGTCCTGTGCTGAGTATTGCCATTATCAACTAAATGGTTGTGAAATTCGAATAAAACATCACCACTACCAGCTGCAGTTATGGATAAGTACGATCTCGTGAAGGGAGATGAGGGTCAGGTAAAGCCAAGAGGGCAGAAGCATTAGGTGGGGTTGGAAAAAACACATTTGAGATGGATAAGTAATCTTCACCTCTCGGGAGGGGTTAGAAGGATCCCATCATCTATCACGCCGGGTCAGAAGGGTTCCCTGCAGGGGATGTTATGAATCTGCCCCTGAGAGAGGTGAGGAGCCCGAGAGACTGTCGTGTCTTTCATGGGTATCTAATTTAACCCTCGCCCGCACATGGGGGGGGGGGGTGGTTGCCACCCCCCCCCCCCCAGGTAGTCTTTCTGCTCTGCACTCAACATTTTTAGCGCTAGAACGCTGATTTTTCGTATAGCTGCTCCTCTATCCTTTCTGGATGTCCACTGAAAATTTCAAGTTTCTGTGATTTTTGGTTTCGGAGATATGACCTTGTTTTTCAGGTCATGTCATGACCCAAATGGCCAATTCTCAACATCCTGCGTTTGCCATGGGTCTTGCGAGCTTTTGACACCCTGATTTCGGCCTTTTTTGCCAGTATTACCTCCCACCTATCATGGAACATGTTGTTCGACGATGTACAGGGGTCAAGGTCAGGGTCAAGGTCAACCTAGGTCATCTAAGATAATTGCGTTTTAGGCAAGCTGAATTTACTTTTTTTGATTTTTTTTTACTGCATTTTTGGTAAAAGCTTCTCAGAGCATGATTTCATGTAATATGGACCCAAAAACAATCGGTGCACACATCAGTATACACACAGACACACACAGACATACAAACACATATAATTGACCTTGACCTAACTTGACCTGAAATGACCTCAGCCGCAAAATTCTGGTCGGGTAGTGTGACAAAGAGGTTCTAGCTGGCCTGGCACCAGAAAACAGCATCGTCATCGGTATTTGATAAGCAGCGCACTTGATATCCAACGGTGACCCAAAACAGCAACATTTTTTTAGTTTGACCTGACCTGGAAGGTCAATGACTGACCTGAGAAGGTAAAACTGGGTATCATTGGATTCGTCTCTTCCCAAAGAATCTTTTTGGTCCTTACCGCTAAGCTCTATCTCCAACAGGAACGAAATGGCGCGGGGGGGTGGCAACCACCCCCATGTGCGTTCTAGGATGGGAAAATGGCATGTGCGGGCGAGGGTTAAAGGGGTCAGGACTCGGGAGGCTCCAAGGTTCAATGTCTTTCAAGTCGGATCAGGACCATTTTGAGAGCGATCAAGAATCAGATCAGCCCCGAAAAAGTTCAGGACAATAATTCCTTAGAACAATCAACAGAAGCCATTTTTGGTGCGTTAGCTCTGAACAAGTGCCATTCGGTGCTTCTGTTGTCCTGCTGTGCTGAATCAATCCGTCACTAGTTGGCATCGTGGCTGTGGGAAGAAGTAGTGGTAATGTATGAATTCGTTCTGTGCTGGGTATTGCCATCAATCAAGTAAATGGCTGCGAAATTCGAAGAATTCGAAAACAAATTCGGACCCATTCTTTAAAAAACCATCTCGCTAATCGCAACGAATCCCGACACTCACAGGTCAGAGTTCATACGCCGGTAAGAGGTCAATGGGTGAAGAGGGGGGGGGAGGTTATCGGAGGTCACCGCGCCAGAACCTGTTGGAGGTGACCATGACGTGACCTGCGGGAGAGTAAGGTCATTGGACATGTCAGAGGCCGCCGTGTCGTGACCTGTTGGAGGTCAGCGCGTCGTGACATGTCTGCTGGAGTTTGACGGCACGGGACCTGTTGAAGGTCACCAGGTGGTGACCTGTCACAGGTCACCGTCTCGTGACCTGTCGGTCACCGGCCGCCGGTCGGGATGGCTGAAGGACGGCGTCCGGGCGTCGGACGCTGGCCGCCTGCCCCGGGAGCGGCGGCCGCGCTCTCTGTCAGCTATCGATCGGGGCGTGCCCGGTCAGCCGGCCGGCCCGACTGCGGGTCAGGCCCGGCTGCCGGGACCGGCACTGAGCCCTGCCGCCCCGCTGACACCCTGACTGGCCCTCGGCCCTCAGCGGGCGGCCCCGCGGCGGCGGCGCCGGGCCGCGCCGGCAGCAGCGCGCTTACCTGGCGCCGTCAGGCCGGTCGGTCCATGCGCCGGCGGCGGTGGCGGCGGCGGTCTGGGTGGCTCCGGGAACAGCAGCGCACACTGGCTCACACGACGGCACGTTCACGCGGCTCGTCTGGACATCACTGGCGCGCCGGCGGCCGCCGAGCCGACCCGCTTTTCGGCTCCATATTGGATTGGCAGCGCGCGAGCCTCGAGAGTGCGGCCGCGACCGTGCGTGACGTCACCGAGCCCGCGCCGGCCGCCGCGCCGGCCCGGTCGATGGCGACGCTCTGACAGAGGGCCCCGGACACGGCCGAGAGCCGGGCGGGCCGGCCTGCCGTCGGCCACACGGTCCACACTCGGCACCGGCACCCGACCACTGACCGCCGACCAGCACCCGCACTGCACCACAACTCACAGTCTGACCGTGCACCTCAGTACAGTCAGCGGCAGCACCGGCCGCCAGCTCGGCTCGAGGCGCTCGTCGCCGCCGTCGTCGCTGCCGTCGCGGCTCTGTCAGAGACCGTACGTCCGGTCTGGCAGCGTCGGTGACGCACACAAGCAACGTCATACGTCGGCCCGAGAAGCTCGGTGCGTCGACGGTACCGGCGCGGCAGTCGACGAGCCGTCCAAGTCCGAGTGGGGCCGGGCGGCCCGGGCCGCGCGCCCGGCCGGTCGCCGAAACACCTGAGAGAGAGAGAGAGAGAGAGAGAGAGAGAGAGAGAGAGAGAGAGAGAGAGAGAGAGAGAGAGAGAGAGAGAGAGAGAGAGAGAGAGAGAGAGAGAGAGAGAGCGACAGGTGTCCGGGCCGGAGCCGGACTGACTCACACCGCCGGCCGTACCCGGAACGAACGGTCCGGCTCGGCGTCCGGCTCCATTCATTTGACGCTGACATTTGTCGTGCAGCGGGCAACTGAGTGCCAAATCGTGTCATGAGAGCCCCATGCCGCGCTTGTAACAACACTAAAACACTCACACGATCTAGCACAATGAAACATTGCCAAAGTACACGGAAATATGCATGCTATTCTCGCCGACCATAAGTCGCGTGACCGTCGCACGGTCTGCACTTCATTGCCAGGCTACGAGGTGCTGTAACTTCCTGACACTGCATTACCAGTTCTACAAATGTGGCTCGCTCAGGAAACGGGTAACGAGCTCAGACTCAAGTTGCCGCACGCCGGGAAGCGCTTTAAATAGAGGCGGATGCGTGCGGTCTAAAAATAAAGGCACAGGATTACCTTTCTCATGCCAAACAAAACCCACCCGAGGTTAGACTCATGAAGGTGCATTGGTTCAAGGGAAACGGATTAAAACAACCTCCTTTTAGTATCCTTAACCCGGGACACTAAAAGATCGATCAGCATTATAAAGATGTTGTGATCGATGAGCTCCTGGCAGGCCATCAAAATATGAGCATCATCCCCGTCTATCACAGCACACGATTGTTTACGCCTGGATTACGTTTTAACCCTCGCCCTGGCAGGGCATTTTTCATAACACGGCCTGGCAGGGGGGGGGGGGGTCGATGCGACCCCCCCCCCCTCGCGATTGGCTCCTATGGCACCTAGAAACACCAAATTTGGTAGGTAGGTGGGCCCCCTGGAGTTCTCGCCCCTGTGCAAATTTGGTTGCTCTAGGTCAATATTTAGGGGGGTTTTGGGGGGTATAAATGTAAAAATTTCGCTAAAAACAGGTCAAAAGTTTTTCGCTTATAACTTTTGATCTAATTACGATAGAGCAAAAAGAAAAGCACCAGTGAACTCAGCACGTCAAGGCGCGTCGAATGATATACTTCTTAGCTTGCTTAAGTGTACTTAAAGTTTTTCTTAATTTTTAAGTAAACTTAAATTAATTAATTAAGTTCAAGTTAACCAAATTGCATCATATCGCATATCATTCGATTCGGCTGATCACCAGGAACACAATGACACCATTTTTTAAGCTCTAGCGTCATTATGTGCCAAGTTATTGGCAAAAACGTCATTTGACCTCAGTTGACCTCATTTGACCTGACCCATGGATAAGAACACCAAACAAAGAAGTACCAAGTGACCTACTGTTAAGTACTGTGGTTTCAAAGCACAAAAGTGATAGAACGAAGCGGATATCTCCAGTATTTTCCGAATTTAGTATTTTCCCATAGGCTTAACATTACGACGTAATGACCTCTAACTGACCTCAGGTCAGTGACCTCAAAGAAACCGGAATATATGTTATACAACTCGGTGAACCTAGCATATCCTGAAAGTTTGAAGGAAATCAGTCCAAAACTGTGAGTTGGACAGGTGCAAAAAGAAACTTGAAATTTGACCATGACCTTGTACCGGTTTTTCTGACCTGGTGACCTGACCCGAGGTCACTTGGACCTGAAATTTTCAGGTCATATGTAAAAAGGTTGCCCCATAGGCTGTGCCAAATTTGGCGGCGCTGCGCGCCGCCGTTTTTACGCTATCTTCGAAAAACCTTAGGGGGGGTCGCATCGACCCCCCCCCCCTGCCAGGGCGAGGGTTAATCTTTTATTGCATGAATGTTCCGAACGAGGGATCACACTGAAGGCTCCCTCCTAAAGGGATTTGAGCCCATATAGATGTTCGGCCATATGCCTGCGGTATTGAAAAATCGGAGCAGCCTCATCCCAGATATAGGATGTTGATTTGATTGTAACACATCAAGGCGAGGGCATCGATCCCATAGTAAGAGACAGTGAGAAAACGCTCCCCCCCCTTAACCCGCGCCCTGGCGGGGTCTGTTTATAACGCGACCTGGTCGTTGAGGGGGGTTATTTTTTGCCCCCTCGTATCTCCGAAACTACTGGACGGATCCGCAAAATTCAAACGGTGTTCGAAAGCCCTGTCAAATTTGTTGAGGGAACATCAATTTTATTGACCTCGGGGTCACCGATGACGTCACAGGTCAGGTCAAAGATAAAATGTTTTACCGGCCATGGGTCTTCTAGGGAATGCGCTATAACATCGAGTAAAACGCATTTTATCGAAAATCAGCGATAGGGCGTCAGTTCCCTAGTACGTATGTTGCTATTAGAGTTTACTGATAATACCAGGTTAGGTCACAGGTCAGGTCACCAAGGGTCAGCACATGAACCCAATTTTACTAGAACTGTGCGATGTATGTTTTATGGCCAATTTTTCATTTTCAACTCAACGGTGCTGGTTATAAGACCATCTGGGTCACTTCCTGATGGAAGTCAGGTCAATGTCAGGTCAGAACAGGTCAAAATTCAAAGTTGATATTTTTGCATAAAATGGGCAATAATTCGATGCAACTCTTCATGGTGAGTCTAATGATGGTCTTTGTTTTGCGCTAGGTTGTCTAGAATGGCTAAAAATTGAGTTTTAAAATTTGACGTCATCATTTTGGATTTTTTTTTCTCTATAATTTGGCCAAAAAAGAGGTATCGATCTAAAATTTGGTATGTGAATATGTTACAGGGAGTTTGAGAAATCCTTGAGTTTGCAAACTCCCTGACCCATCAGTGAGTTTGCAAACTCACTAGGGAGTTTACAATTTCACTAGGGACTAGGGAGTTTGCAAACTCACTGACCGGTCAGGAAGTTTGAGAAATTCCAGAGCGATTGGGACAAATAAAATCAAGTGTGTAAGATGAGGCTGGCATGCGTGCCGTCCGTGATGTTAAAACAAAGGCGGCTAGTGGTACGGCTTATATAACTGTCGCACGCTGACAAAAAGCTTACAGATCCTTAACCTTCGGGGGGGGGGCATATGTTACCACCCTGTTGCGTTTTTTTGCGTGCGAATAAAAAACCGCGGCGCGTAGCGCCGCGCCGCTTGGGGTAGCTTTTGGTACATCAATTTTGGACAATGTGTGAAATTTTTGACCTCAGGTCATGTCAGGTCAGGTCACCAGGTCAATTTAACTGACCAAGCCTAAAAAATAGTTTGCAATCACGTCCAGCCTGCAGTGTTTGTCAGAAAGGTTTTAAACTTGGTGGATTGCATGCTGTTATGGGCGCCTACAATTTGTATATCTCGGATTTTTTATATCCGTGACCTAAGGTCAGGTCAGTGGCGTGACCCCTCCATTACAAGTCAATGGAGAAAAATGAAAATGCCTCTAGATCCGTGTGTACGCATCGGAACAGTCCAAATATTTCAGAATCACAATGATTTAGTCCACTCGTGATGACCAAGGTGTCATTTTTGCTGATAGCCTCTAGACAGGTCATCCGAGGTCACTTGAGGCTACAAACAGTTTTTTGCCAATAACTCGCGATTGGAAAGAGATAGAACGCTGGGAATGGTCTCATTGTGTTTGTCTTGTTGAGATGCATCGACTGATATGCAACATGACCTTTTCCGGTAAGGTCATGACCTTGACCTGAGGTCAAATTTTCAAGTTGACCTTTCAAGGTCAAATTATAGTTCATTCGACGCGTCTCGGCGAGGGGAACACGATTCTGGCAATAGAAATGTCGTGGCTTTTTGTAGTCGAAAGTTATTGTCGAAAAACACTTTTCGTAAAAACAGATATTTTTAGAGTTTTTGCCCTCTGGAGGCTAAACCGTTGACCTGAGGTCAATATTGATAATGACTTTTTCAAAAGAAGAGTTCAAAAGCTATCGATTGCTTTTCATGCGTTTTTCTAGCTACCATAGTTTCTGAGATAGCGGCATGTTTTCTGAAAAATATAATGACAATTGGCAAATTTTGACCTTTGATGACCTCTGGTGACCCCAATATTGCTCTAAGGTGCAAAATGACCGAAATACTTTCAAACGTACGCATTGAGAGCTATCGACTGCTTTTTACCGCGTCTTTCTAGCCCTCTTAGTTTTTGAGTTAGAGGTGGGTGGTAGCATATGCCCCCCCCCCCACACACTAGGGCGAAGTTGGCTGAGACCGCCACTGGGGCGCGAGTTAGTTGTTTTACCGGGAAAAATGCTACTCGCAGCTATGTAAAGGGAAGGTTCGGAGCAGCGTGCTCCTCCGTTCCGTCGTTTCCATCCTCATGAATCCGGATACTGAAATCCTTCTCCTCCACGCCGAAACCCCCACTCCGGGCTGGACATGCACCTTTATCTCAAGTGGGCTGCTCCCTTGGAGCGGCACCGCTGCTCCCGAGGGAGCGCACCCCGTAGCCGGGTGCAGAGAGTGCTTGGGGGGCTGGTCGGCCTGTCCATTCGGACGGGCTAAGCCCCGGCGGCTCTCTAGGGTGTCACGTGGCAAAAGATCGTAAGACAAAAGATCGTATGGAAAAAGATCGTACGAAAATGATCGTAAGATAAAGATCGTATGTTGTAAAAGATCGTACGGTAAAAAGATCATAAGCAAAAGATCGTAAAGCAATTGATCGTATGCAAAAGATCGTACGAAAATGATCGTAAGATAAAGATCGTATGTTGTAAAAGATCGTACGACAAAAAGATCGTAAGCAAAAGATCGTAAAGCAATTGATCGTATGAAAAAGATCGTAGGAAAATGATCGTAAGATAA